CCTACCGCCCAAAACATGCCCACCGCCCCCCTACCGCCCAAAACAAGTTCATTGCCCCTCAGCATCCTCCCACCGCCCCCCCAGGGGGCAGTACCGCCCCTGTTGAGAACCAATGCTCTAGCTGGATGCTGTGTATAGACAATGTACACAATTCAGAGGAGCAGTTGAGGGCCTTTCCAGGTAGAGCTGGTGAGTCTCCAGTGTGAAATCCCTGGGATCTACTGCTAATCGGTGTAGTCCAGAGGGCTCTGCAACCTTTGGCAGAATTCCTGTGGAAGTGTATTCAGTGCATCCATGTATATGCTTAAATGATGTGAGGAGTGTGTGCTGAGCTTCTAAGAAGTTACAGCATCTTGACACTTCCAGTAGTGGGTTTAGGGGGTGCTTTCCTTATTGCACAAAGTTCCCCTCCAAATCATTCGCACAATCTTACAATGCCTTAATGGGCATTGGCTCTTCAGAGACTTAGGGTGGAATTATACCCAACTCTGCCTAGAAAGCATTAGAGCAAAGGCCTAAAACCTGCTACCCATGGGCTATATGCCCTTCAGGTCCAGCAATACAGTACTTTGTGGGTGTTCGGGATGCTGGCCAGCAAGGGCAGCTCGCTGAGCATTACAAGGTGCACAAGCTGACACATGGGAAATGCTCAAGGATAAGAGTAGCTTGATGGTAGCAACCCGTTGGCTTGCCTTGTCCCAATTCAGTGGATCTCCTGGCAACATCAGGGCCTGGTTGGCCTGGCCATGTAGTTGGTGGCCTGATACCTCTCATGCCAAGCAGCGCTGCCTTTTGCGAACCATGGCAGGTGCTGTTTCGGGCACAGGGAGTGGGGAGGCAGGGCTTGGTGAGGGAGGACAGGTCCGGAGGCTGCTGGGGCTACCTGAATGAGGAAGGGAAGAGGCAGCAAGGAGGAGGGCCAGCCCTGGCCGCCCTGTTGCCAGATTCTCTGCTGAGCAGCAGTTTGAAGGTCAGAGAGCGAGCAAGCAAGCAGGCCATGGAATGACTTCGTCAGGCAAAGGGGAGAAGGGGAAACAAGCAAGAAAAAGTCGAGGGGAGAGTGGTTGAAAGATCTTTCTGCTCAGGAAGGAAGAAGTGGAAAAAGAAAAGCAGGATTCGGGCAGCAAATCTTTAGTGGGATGGGCTTCCTAGATGATATCATTAGAGATGGTAAATATAATCTTGAAAAAATATTGCATATAAACTCAGCTAACAAACAAAGTATTGATGTTCCATGTAATGAACAATGCTGCCAGTTAAGTGAAATGGTTGTTTCACCGCTGTTTTACAAGTGGCTGTGTTTTATGGTAAAATTTTGAAAATGTAATAAACTTCTCTTGAATGGCATACTGGGATACCCTTTCATTTTTTACTTAGTAGAGACTTTTGTATCAAAGGCTTCAGTTTTGTGGCCTTTGAGCCAGTGAGTCCTCCTGCAGCACTCTGGGCAATATGAATGTTGAGATTCTTGCCATAGACTCTCCCTGGGACTCTGCCATTGAGCCCCAGTCCTTTTCTTCTCTTTGGCGACACTGGGGAGTGCATCCTGTTAGATGGGAAATGCTTTTTGAAGTGGAAATAGAAAGCAAATTAGATATTTTTGCCCCGGAACTTAATTACTGATTAATTTGCTCCTGATCATTAAAGAAGCAATCAAAGAATAGAAGTTTAACTTATGCTGGATGAATAGGAATTTAGTCTGTTCTGAACTGCCTCCTTGATCCTGTTTCAGATTAATTTCTATTCAGTGGAGCCCATTGTTATTCATTATGGAACAAAGAACAGGTCAGGTTTTATACTGGAAGAGGTAGGATATACATATAATAACTAAATAAAAAATTGTCTTGAGTTCCTTCAAATATGTCACGGGCTCAGCTTACAGCCTGCCTACCCCTAGGTTTGGTTTTCTAGATTCTGGTATCATTCCAATAGAGTTCTTTACTACCCCAGTGGAAATAGCAATCACTAAGCAAATGGATGCTCTAATGCGTCAGCATGAAGTCCTGCATTAAAGAGGGAAGATGGGCTCCTCCCAGGAGAGAGCAAAAGGAAACGTTTCAGCCTTGTTTAACATGGTACATTCACAAAAGCCCTCAACCCTTAATCAGATGCAGTATGACTGCATCATCTTCAACTCCCTCACATTACATTTCCCTTTAAGCAGAGAGAGAGAGGGTGCAAAAGAAGGAAACTGGCTAACAACCAGAAAACTCTGCAGGTTTTACATGAGTGGGTCCCCAGCCTCCAACTGGCATAAAAGCAGTAGGCTACTTGGCAAGGCTGGCATAACTCAGTTCCTGGGCTGCTGCAACATGTACATAGTATTGATGCATCTTTGGCAGGGTAATTTTTTACATGTTAGAAATTCAAAAAAACAGTTTTTTTGATGTCACA